AGTGGTGGCACTGGCAAGGGCCCCTTCGCAGCCCAGGGACCAGCTGGGGACGGGAGGGGAAGAGATGACATTGGCTTGGACCTCCCCTACGGGAACTCGGTGCTGTGGTGGCTCCTGGGCAGGGGGTAGGTGTCTGGCTGGTTTTGTACCTAGCACCCATTTATTCCCAGGTGTACAAAGTGCTCCCTGAATTCGATTACCCTGCAAGCGTTCAGGACCCACAACCCTGTTCAGCATTTTCCTGGGACTATGCCCCTGACTATGACATTCCCGGCATCCCGTTTGGACCGAGGCAGCAAGACTTCTTTCCCCCTTCAAGGAGGCATCACTTACTTCCCCATCTTTGGAGGCATTCCGAGATGGACACCTACAAGTTATTTCAGGTAGAGGCCCACCTGTGCCTCCTGGTTCCTATTTATCCAGGAGCCAGCTGTGGTTTGCTCAGGGTGCCAGGAAAGCACAGCAATGTCCTGTGAAAGCCACGCTTGTGGCAAAGGTCTTTCCCTTTCCCACACACCTCAGGCTTTGGTTCTTCTCCACTTGTCACCTTCTGCAGCCCTATGACTATTTACTGCTGAGATGGGGATATTCCTCCTGCTGGGTTTTGGAGATGGATGACATCTTTTCTTTTTCACAGAACGCAGCATTGAAACTTTTCACGAATGCCAAGACCAGTGGTGTTTGCAAAGTGAGGTTCGGCTCGCCTGGAATAGCCCTTCCCCAAGGTCCTACAGGTCAGCACGTTCCTCAGCTTGCTCGCTCCGCTGAGCCTTCTCGGGAGAAGAAAGCAAAAAGCTGGTACTCGGTCCTGGCTCCTGTGTCCTCAGGGGGACTCAGAGCCAGCCTGAAAATACACTCCTCATCAGAGGGATTGAAGAGGATTGAGAAAGAATTTGGCCACCTTTGGGCTGCCTGCAGGAGAGGTCCAGTTGAAATGCAGACACCTGTGGACCCTAATTTCTGCTCTGCCTTTTCCAGGTGGCTTTAACTCCCATGTCACCTACTTGCGTAAAGAAACTGATTTCCCGTTCATAATGGGCCGTAGTACCCAAGACACTGCAGTCCAGGAAGAGCCACCAGCACCCCGCACGTATTTCCCAGAGACATGGTTGTGGGACCTGGTCCCCATGGGGTGAGTGAGGGCTGGTCCTCTCCCCACCTCCCCTCCTGGACAGAGGGAGTTTGGGGACCTCATGATGGCTCCTTCTCCCATGGGGAGAGAGCCAGCCCAGCTGGGGATGACACCAGCTGTGGGTGAACGTGGTGGCATGGCCTTATGATGTTCTCCTTCCCGCAGGGAGGAGGGCTCTGCAGAGGTGACGGTGACGGTCCCCGATGCCATCACCGAGTGGGAAGCCGGGATGTTCTGCACGGCCCCACTGGGCTTGGGGCTGGCCCCTGCCACCACCCTCACGGCCTTCAAGCCCTTCTTCGTGGAGCTGGCACTGCCCTGTGCCGTGGTCCGCCACGAAGCCTTCACCCTCGTGGCTACTGTCTTCAACTACCTGCGGCAGTGCCTGCGGGTGAGTGGAGCTGGGGAGGGGGCCCTGGGTCTGGGGTCCGGCGGGGGCTGATGGGGCTGTGGCCGGGGGCTGGCGAGGGGGCCCTGGGTCTGGGGTCCGGCGGGGGCTGATGGAGCTGTGGCCGTGGTCTGGCAGGTTCAGGTGACGCTGGTGGAATCGGTGGAGCTGGAGGTGTCAGTGAACACGGACGAAGTGTACGGTGGTTGCATCTGTGCAGACGAAGCGAGGACCTTCCGATGGGGCGTGCGAGCTACCAGCCTGGGTACAGGGCACCGGCACTGTGATGGGATCCCCTGCCCTGCTGTTTGGGGACCCCTTTGGAGGATGTGGTGGTGGAGAGGACAGGAGCAAATACGTGCCACCTGGGAAGCTCGCCTCCACTCCACTCCCACCCTCCTCACAGTCTCCCAGCACTGCTCCTCAACCTGGTGACCCCCATCCCAATCCAGCCAGCCCCACACAAAGCTTCAGGTCTGATGCAAGCCCGTGAAGCTGCGGTGTGGACTGGGGGTTCCATGGGGACTGAGCACCCCTCTTGTATCCGCAGGGGAGGTGAACATCACAGTCAGCACCGAGGCCTTGAGCTCCAAGGAGCTTTGCGGCAATGAGATGCCTGTGGTGCCAGCCCAGGGGCGCGTGGACACCGTGATAAAGCCCTTGCTGGTGCAGGTCAGACAGGTTATGGAGGAAGAAAGTGGGATGGGTTTAGGGACAGGTTCCAAGCAGCCCTCAGGGTGCAGTGGGAGGACTGGGAGGGGGACAGCATCCAGCCCTGAGCCCAGGCTGCAGGCAACACCCAGGGGGACAGGGGAACACGGCTGGTCCCTTCTCCTGACCATCTCTGATGCTGTTTCCCCACAGCCCGGGGGGATCCTGGTGGAGAAAGCGCACAACTCCCTGCTCTGCCAGGAAGGTAGGACCAGCCGGGGGTGTCCGGCAGTGCCATGGGGATGTGGTTGGGACAGTTGGCCACTGGTCATGAAAGCCACCAGGCCAGAGGACCCAAGGACATCCATGGGTCTGTAGTGGCTCCCGGCTGAGATGCCCCAACTCAGCCTTGAGCCCAGGGCGGGTCAGAGCAATATGGGGGCAGGTGATGGTGCCATGGGGCCAGGCCAGGAGGAGCTGAGCATCCCCACTGTTGTTCCCCTCCATCCCCACAGATGCTGAAGAAATCTCCCTGGAGGTTCCTGCAAACATCTTGGAGGGCTCCCAGCGAGCCCACGTCACCGTGATGGGTACGGGACAGGCAGGGGTCAGGGAACCACCTGGGGCAGGAATGGTGCAGAGCTCCATGGCCCAAGATCAGCAGGAGCTGGGACCACCTGGAGCTGAGATGGAAGGGGATACAGGGGACACGGCCACTGACAGTGCTCCCCACCTCCTCCTGGGACAGGTGACCTCATGGGCAACGCTCTGCAGAACGTGGACCGCCTCCTGGCCATGCCCTATGGCTGTGGGGAGCAGAACATGGTTCGCTTTGCCCCCAACATCTACATCCAGCAGTACCTGGAGAAGAGCGGGCAACTGCACCCCGACATCCCCGCCAAGGCGCAGGGCTTCCTGCAGAGCGGTGAGCGTCCCCGGTCCCTTCCTCTGCCCGTCCCACCCTGCCTTGCAGTCGAGGGACTCCACTGCCCCACACCCCCCCTCCCCATTTTCTACCTGTGCCCTGGGGTGGGTCTGGGCTGCAGGCTGCCTCTAGGATCCCCTGGGGATGCAGAGACCGGCATGTAAAGACCATCCCCATCTCCTCCCCACAGGGTACCAGCGAGAGCTGCTCTACAAACACGACGACGGCTCCTACAGCGCTTTTGGGAAGAAAGATGCCACGGGCAATACCTGGTGAGGGACCAGACGGGGCTCGGGCAGGCTGTGCAGCGGCATCCTCCGGGGAGCGGCCGTCACAGAATCACAGAATGGTGGGGGTTGGCAGGGCCCTCTGGGGGTCACCCAGCCCAACCCCCTGCCCAAGCAGGGTCACCCAGAGCAGGCTGCACAGCACCGCGGCCAGGCGGGGCTGGAATATCTCCAGAGAAGGAGACTCCACAGCCTCCCTGGGCAGCCTGGGCCAGGGCTCCGTCACCCTCAGAGGGAAGAAGCCCGTCCTTCTGACACCCACCCTGCAGATATTTATAAACATTTATTAGGTCCCCTCTCAGCCTTCTCTTCTCCAGGCTGAACAAGCCCAGCTCCCTCCGCCTTTCCTCGTAGGAGACATGCTCCAGTCCCCTCCTCATCCTCATAGCCCTCCGCTGGGCTCTCTCCAGTAGCTCCTCATCTTTCTTGAAGTGGGGAGCCAAGTCCCGGGGCTCCTCCTTCCATGCAGCGTACCCCAGCCCTGCTCACCCATCCCTCCGATGTCCCTCTGCCTCGCAGGCTGACAGCGTTTGTCCTCAAGTCCTTCGGGCAAGCCAGAGCCTACGTGGCCATCGAGGAGCGGCACATCACGGACGCGCTGCGCTGGCTGCAGAAGCAGCAGCAGGAGACGGGCTGCTTCCGCAGCGTGGGGAAGCTCTTCAACAACGCCCTGCAGGTGGGTTGGTGGGGTGGGACATGGGGACATGCAGCCAGAGCCAGACTGGCCCCAACATGTCCCCGGTGTGTGGTCTAGGCAGTCGGGGAGTCCCTGTGCTGGTGGCACAGCATGGCTGGACCCATCTCCCACTGTCCCTTTGCAGGGTGGCGTCTCGGATGAGCTCTCGCTGTCAGCTTATGTCACGGCTGCGATGCTGGAGCTGGGGTTGTCCCCAACGGTGAGGATGACCCCATCTTCCCCAGAGGGGCTGGTGGGGTGGGGACGGGTGCTGGGGCAGGGAGTCTGGCTGTGCCAGGCCACCTCCTCACCCGACCTGGGGGCAACTGGTCTCACTGGGCAGAACTGGGGCGTCTGAGCGATGCCCACGCCTGTGGTCTGGTTCGTGACCCCAGTCCCATGCCAGGACCCGGGGGTGAGCTCAGCCCTGCAGTGCCTGGAGGCTTCGGCCACGGAGGACCCCTACACGCAGGCGCTGCTCGCCTACGTCTTCGGGCTGGCGGGGCGCGGGGAGCAGCAGCAAGCCCGGCTCAGGGGGGCAGAAAGTCTGCTATAGACACAGAGGGTGTTGTTACCC